AGTTGCTGGACAGTCCCGGGGCGCTTGTGTCTTGTGCCTGTAATGGGCAGCATTTTTCACAGCCCCGCTTTGTTCAGCGGAGAGATCGGTGCTGTTGAACGGTCCGATGCGGATTTGGAAGTGGGAGTCGCGGCTTGGAGTTTGAAGCGGATTATGTGGGACAGGAGAAGTGAACTATAAAACTCTTTTTGTCAATGGACGCTACAGCTTCGTGTTTGCTTTCAAAACTTAGCTTGTAGCAGACGTGTGCACATTTTCAGCATGATGTCTCTGATCCACTGGTGAAAGGACACTTTGATCCTCTCCTCTTTCATCTATAACTGCTTCAGACAACAAAGTGTATGCAGAAAAGTGGTGAAGATTGCACGACTGTCTTGTGTCCTACGAGTTGTGTTGTGTTATTTTTGTTATTTTGACTTCAAAATGGCTCCGCGAGAGTGGCTGCCTTTCCAGCAGCTCCTATATTTTGTTGTTCTACTTCTTCCTTTCATAACTTTGCTGCTGTGAATTGGGAATTTCTCCATTAAAAGTGAAGAAAAAGAAAGTCCGGTTTGTGCACACCCAGCAGCTCAAGCATACGATCCATTAACTCGGAGGGCTTTCCGTCCCCCAGGCTGTGGAGAGAGAAAATTTTGCTGGCTCGTTCAGCGTCGGAAAGTTCAAAGGTTTTCAATAAGTGAGCCTTCAGCACATCATATCGTCCTTCTGTCAGAGACTTGAGGAAACTCACGACCCTGGACGCCGTCGAACTGCCCAGCGCGGAAATAACGTAGTAGTATTTAGTAGTATCTGCAGTGATGTCGCGTAGGGCGAACTGGGCTTCGGTCTGAGCGAACCAAACAGACGCAGATGATTCCCAAAACTCGGGGAGCTTGAGCGAAACAGCGTTCACGGACATCTTTGCGGTCTGGAATCGTCCAACAAAAAACGTCGAGGGTCACCAGTGTGGAAATTGTAAAAACTCAAAGAAAGCGACAATTTCTCACGTTCACACACTGAGAGAGTGTGTCGTTTATTTAGCACACCAAAAAGCTCCCACGCAAACTGAGACCCGCCGAAAGTAAGTTTCCATAGAAACAAGCAAACTAAACATAGCGGTCCTTAAAGGGACTGCAATTACTTCTTCCCAGTTACCAAATGACCGTGAACTCTCTGACAAGCATATGAAAAAACATTGCATTCACACATTTGCAGTTGG